GTTTATGGATTTATGAAAGCCTTGATTGTGAAGCACAACTTTGCTTAGCCCTTTGACCTCTATAACAGTGCATACACTAATACATCAATATTTATCTACATTTTCAATAATAAACCCTCAACTGAGGTTATGATGCATTCTCTAAAAACTTAACTGACCCATATTATCTATTTTGATGATTTAATAGAGCTCCAGAGGTATTTAACTGAACAGAGTTATACTTTTTAGCACTAATGGATTCATTGCCACCTATGTTAACCAGCCCATTATCACTGTTGGGAACCTCTTCCAGACATTGTTTATTATTCTTAAGGGACTTTAAATTGTCCTCAATTATGGTTTGGATTTCCTAAGACATGTCAACAAATTTGCAGATTATCAAATTCCTCTGATGATTGTTTCACCTCCAGGGTATTGTGAAACTTTACCTTGTTTAAAACCAAAATCCAATTTCAAATGTTTCAAGCTTGTGATCAACCCTTGGCTCCTGATGTATAACATATGTGTTTGAGATTCCCAATGTTAGACTCTATGATTATATAAGTGAATAATGTCCTTCCTTGATTCTTGTTTGTTTAATAAAACCTTTTTTTGCAACTGAACCAATGAGAGTTCAGGACTTGGAATTGGGGAAGACAACAGTCCAATAGGAAAGGACAGAATAATAAGAATAAGGTGTTGTTTATTGTAGGATATTGTGATTAATATACTAAATGGGGAAGCCACAAGGCCACAAGGGGGTGGCATAGTGGGGAGTTCAATGTAGTGTTTGGAGCCAAGGAATAACTTGTGCCGGGATCAGTGGGTCAAATTGGCAACACTCCTAATTAGGATGAAGTGCCCGCCATTCAACCTTGCCAGCAGATCCATTCATAACATTAGATACGTCAAGGGGCGACTCATCAAGCGCCCCCTGTGTATTGTGAGATTTGTTAGCAGGCAAGGTTCAAACCTCGGTTGCAACACTTTACCATGTTCCAAATTCCCAGATTTACTTCTTGCTACAATGGTTTTAAATAGAAAACCTTGCTAGTGTCTATAATGCATACTACTAATGTTGGTGATGGCTTGGGTGTATTGGCTTTGCTACTATATATGACTTTATCCTTGATCTCCTACAAGACTGACTTGGTCCTCTTGGTTGTAGTTCCTGCTATGAAGAATTGTTTGCTACTGCTGGCTTGATGAAAATAATCATCTTGACTGAAATCAATATGTAATACTGGATAGAGTGAAGAGACCTTATTATGATGAAGTAGGTCCCTGGCAATTACTGAGAAGAAGAAGCTATTCTAGCATGAGGAGTTCTTACTTTTTTATAATGATGGAGTACATCCCAAAGATTAAATAATATTCTTTACCACTACCTAGTATTTACACAATCTATTTAATTTCACAGAATACCTAGCAGATGTAGTTTTATCCACTTTCCCAAAGCTCTTCAGTAATCTTTAGAATTTTTATGACAAGGTTGTCCATTTAATTATTCCCTTTTTTATACTTCCTCCCTGACAAGAATCAGCACACATGTCTTTTCTCTCATCATTTTAAAGTATAAACTGAATGAAATCCTTTATACCCTTAATAAGTTTCCTAGAGACTATATATTCACCTTCTCTTTTCTCTCTTCTTACTCAAAAAGTTCTTTAATCTCAATGAGCTTGTCAATACTGAAGGGGTAAATTGGCAGGACTGATAATTTTTCCCCTTGAAACCTTAGCTCAAGGGCAGGATTCAAACCCTGACCCTGGATCACCGTAGGCTGTCTGCCTGCCTTTTCCTGGGGTCAAGCCCCCGCAAGCTGATGCCAAAGATGGTTTTCCAAAGGGTAAACCCAGCCAATCTAAAGGAATCATTACACTAAATGGAGTAGCAATCAAGACGCCTAATGGAGGCAACAAAGTCCCTACTGTTCACTTCATGGATTTGAAATCCACCCTAGTGGCCAATCAGGATGCATCACCTGAAGTAAGTGTGGGCCTATGGCCTAACCTCATGACTGCAACCCAATAACAAGATAATCAGGTAGCCAATTTGGGGATTCTGGCCAATGAGAGAACATCCAACCAAGATGTCATTTTGCTGGTCCTGAACTCAGGTGTCCTGGCCACCTGCCCCCACATTTCCCATTATCTTGATGAAACCCCCATGGAAAATGCTAAGTTTGGAGGCAGGGTGCTATATAGACATCTAGACCCTGTGTTTCAACCTTATTGCCATTTTTGAATAAAGGTATGTCATATTGGCTTCCACAGCTATTACCTTATTTTATTTTCATCATCTATCAATTCATTACAAGAACTTCTGGCCCTCCTGCCCGCAGATTCCTGTCCACCAAGTGTTCTCTTTGACCCTGTTCACTTTACAGAGTACCCATTAAAGCTGGAGTATAAAGACTATACCCCAAAAAGGTCCTTAAACTATATCCCTTAGCCCACATAAAAATCTGCAGTTAGATACAACCAACAAGGACCTTGAATTCTAATCAAGCCCAAACTGTTTAGAGGCAAGTTCAACTTCCTGCCTTCATACAAACTCCACATGAAACCGCCTGTGACCCCCAAGCCAATGACTGCCTCCTTGCCCAACCTGCCATCTGATCACACTGGCAAGTTGCTTGGAATTGTGTACATCACCCTCACTAAGGTGATTAAAATAATAATTCTGGCCACTGGTTTGTGGTCCTGGGTGGGGAAGTTCATGTCCTGAATTATAAATTTAGCCCCAATCTTGTGGTAGGCCCTAACCTCTAAACCCAAAGTGTGTGTTCCTTGAAAAAACAGGCTGGCTGCCCAAGGTTGGATCTCTGACATAAATAAACTAAAGGCGCCTTTATTACTTTTCCTTCTTCTTTCCAGTAAAAAATAAGGATATTAATGTTTTCTATGAATCCTTTATGTACCATCCTTATATCACTTTCAACCAGAAAGACTTTGCAAAATTCATTGAGTACTTTGAGAAAAAATGATTTTTAGTGTTTAAAAATTACATCTGATAAGAAAAGTGGTGACTAAGTGAGCTGGAACTTTGTAAAACAAGTAAAAATGGCTTGATACATACTAAATCTTCTCTGGAAGAGTGACACTGCTATTTTACAAATAGAGTCAAGGTCAAGAAGCCAAATCTTAAGAATATTGTAGGTCACCCTAAGATATACTAATCCATCTCTATCTGCCTCTTCAAGACAGGCATAAATTAAGACTTCAGACTTTTTCAACAACAGCTGCATTTTTATCAAAGCCTGAGCTCAACTATCACCAATAAATATTATTTCTCAGGGATATTTAAGGTAAATCTAGGATGGAGACAATAGTCTCTATTGATGAGCCTAGAAAATAGAGTGTCATAACTGTGCTGTTTTAGCAGAGTTACAAGGGAAAAAATATTTGGAAACTAGATAATAATCTTTATTGAGAGATAATGATTATATAGTTAATGTGAATTGAGGATAACAGGAACATGGTTGCTGATCACATTATTGGATGGTGAAGGGAGTGGCCTGATCCTGGTAATGAGTCAAGCGCCAAAACAAGGTATCCACCATAAGGAATTATCATTTGTTCATTTTTTGGATTTGGCAATTTGAGTTGACTTCCTAGTCTGGCTTTGAGTGGCCAGGTAATTGAATTGCGGGTCACAAACCCGCTTGTTTGGTACCTTGCTGGCGGGTCAAGCCTGCTGTTTTGACAAAATGATTAAATTTTTTGAAATAATATAATTGTATGACTTTCATATCCAATTCTATGAAAAGGAGATGATAGGAAAATTATTTTTAAGCAAGATTAACTCATAATTTCAAATCAGAATTATATTGTCAGTAGTAAGATTCTGAAAGCTGGAAATAAGAACTTTTGGCTGACACTATTTTGGGCTGAAATAATTCATTATTTGCAGAAAAATAGGTGAACAAATATGGTTAAGTAGAAGCAAACAATTAAAACAGAAGGCTTTGCATAAATATCAACAAAATAGGAAATATCAGTTGGGACTTAAGTTCTAAGTCCTGATAATGAGGAATAAATCATCTTCATCCAGACATACACGGACTTTAAAAAAGTATCAGGATATTTTCAAGGCATTAATTGTATACTATACCTAGGATAGAAAGCTTGACCATCTTCAGACTATCTTTATGGCTCATTCTGCTAATGTAAGATCCAATTTTTCAATTAAATCTTATTTTTTCTTTTGGATTTAATAGTTTTATATTTTCTTTGGTGTTTAGTTTTTTTATAGATATTGTATATTGTACAGCAAGTGTAGCCAAAAAATCTTCTTTTGGATATCCTGGCTTCATATCTTTATGTGACCAAATTGCTAAAAATTGACTTCTTTTATTGCAGATTTAAATTATTTGAAGCTTTATTGGTCTATATATTACCTTTAGATTTTTGAATTTATCTATTTTATGTAATTGAGAGTCAAAAGCAAGTATTTCCGATATATAATTGTTATCTGTGATAATTCAAATTGAGATGTTATACTTACTATTACTTTTGAAATACTTAAATTCAAGGTGTTGGAATTTGGTATGGTATTTTCAGTATGTTGTGACCCACCTTTATCTTGGTATTGGTTTGTAAATATAGAAAATCGGATACATATCTTTGTTTTACTTATGAAAATATTTGAGTTATGCTCATTATCACTTGTGGTTTCTTAGCCACATTACCACCCCTTCTATTTAATACTTGAGATAGATTACAAAAAATAAAGTGGTTATCTACCTCTAATTAGAGAATATGTTTTAAAAGAATAAGTGGTTTAAACTCAAGGCATTTTTGTTATGATTAGCACATCAAGCCCAAATCAAAAAAGACACTTTGGCAAAATTTCTTATGCCTTGATATTTTTTCTAAAGCACACAAAATTTCTTGAAACTTTCAGCTTTTATCAATGTACTTACAAGCTTTGGTATGCATGATATACCCTACAAAAGAATCCATCAGAATATTAGTATAAAATTTAAAAAGTTTTGGCTGTCATGAATAGACGAAAATTCCGATCACCTGGGATCGAACCAGGGACCTAAGGATATCTTTTTAAATTACAGTCCTTTGCTCTTCCAATTTTTTTTAAATTATCAAGGAGTCCTTGGCTCTTCCAACTGAGCTATGATCGGATTTGAGAAACAGCAATACAAGGTAGTATATATATTGCTTGATGACGAGGTACATAAAACCAGGGCTTAAGAGAAGAGGATCAATTTTTAAGCTTCTTTAGATTTTTTATTGATTATCTTATAGTTTTATAAATTAATTTTTTATTAGAATGTATATTTGAATATATAAGTTCTTATTAACCACAACTTGTCTCATTGTGCCAGAGACTCACTTGAAAGAGAAGATACTCCCAATACTGTGGGCAAGGGATCCAAAATTCAGTCCTGCTTTTACAGAACCAATATGAAAGGTGACTATTTCTAAGTGACCAAGCTTTCCTAAGAAGGGATGTTCTCCCCATCAAGGAGCTGAACTTTTCTAGGGGATAGTAACCTACCAAGTAGGTCAGAATGTTAGGGATCCAACCTTGGGCAGCCAGCCTATTTTTTCAAGGAACACACACACTTTGGGTTTAGAGGTTAGGGCCTACCACAAGATTGGGGCTAAATTTATAATTCAGGACATGGACTTCCCCACCCAGGACCACAAACCAGTGGCCAGAATTATTATTTTAATCACCTTAGTGAGGGTGATGTACACAATTCCAAGCAACTTGCCAGTGTGATCAGATGGCAGGTTGGGCAAGGAGGCAGTCATTGTCTTGGGGGTCACAGGCAGTTTCATGTGGAGTTTGTATGAAGGCAGGAAGTTGAACTTGCCTCTAAACAGTTTGGGCTTGATTAGAATTCAAGGTCCTTGTTGGTTGTATCTAACTGCAGATTTTTATGTGGGCTAAGGGATATAGTTTAAGGACCTTTTTGGGGTATAGTCTTTATACTTCAGCTTTAATGGGTACTCTGTAAAGTAAACAGGGCCAAAGAGAACACTTGGTGGACAGGAATCTGCGGGCAGGAGGGCCAGAAGTTCTTGTAATGAATTGATAGATGATGAAAATAAGGTAATAGCTGTGGAAGCCAATATGACATACCTTTATTCAAAAATGGCAATAAGGTTGAAACACAGGGTCTAGATGTCTATATAGCACCCTGCCTCCAAACTTAGCATTTTCCATGGGGGTTTCATCAAGATAATGGGAAATGTGGGGGCAGGTGGCCAGGACATCTGAGTTCAGGACCAGCAAAATGACATCTTGGTTGGATGTTCTCTCATTGGCCAGAATCCCCAAATTGGCTACCTGATTATCTTGTTATTGGGTTGCAGTCATGAGGTTGGGCCATAGGCCCACACTTACTTCAGGTGATGCATCCTGATTGGCCACTAGGGTGGATTTCAAATCCATGAAGTTGTCAGTAGGAATTTTGTTGCCTCCATTAGGCGTCTTGATTGCTCCTCCATTTGTGTGATGATTCCTTTGGTTTGGCTGGGTTTACCCTTTGGAAAACCATCTTTGGCATCAGCTTGTGAGGGTTCAGTCTCAGAAAAATGCAGCTGGCTAGCTCATTGGTCCTCAGAGATGGCAGCCTGCAGGGAATCAGGACTGTGGTTTGAGTTTTGGCCCTGGGCCCAGGTTTCCAAGGGAAGAAAATTGTCAATCCTGACACAGAAGGTAAAATGACACATTAGGTCTAACCAGAGAGACTTCAGCTTCATGAGGGAGATGAGTCCATATTTCATAATTAAACTTCCTTTTCCAGTGGCCAGCAGTATATTTAAACCAGCTTTGAGTAAGGATTCTTTCTTATTGGACTCATTGGGAGAAGATTTTTGCCTGTTGTTGGTGCAGTTTGGACCTTCAAGGGATAGGAAAAGTAGAGGTAAAAGACTTAACAACCAGAGTAGAAATGTAATCCTCTCTATGGCTCTAAAAAGGTTTCAGGATAAAGTAGGTAAAAGAAGGTATTATATGAGAAATAAAGTTTATTGTTTCTAGAACAAGAGATATAGAAGTGAAAAACTACTTTAAATATTAAAATTTCATCTGTAAACAGATGAGATGCTTAAGAAGAATCAGAGGATAAAAAACCAGATTTTTTAGGGCTTAATATAGAACAGAGTATGTTACATAGTAGGAACTGAGTGTAATGACCAATGGAGATTGAAAGCTATAGTAGACAAAGGAGCAAAACCATGCAGTTTGGAACCCTTGATAAAGTGAGAGGATTTCATATACAGCAAGAGCAATGTTGGCAGAGTTGATTCCTCTGTTATGAACAGAAAGTGGTTTAAAGTATGGCCAAAGCTGTTTACACTGCCAATCAGATTTTGAGCAGTAAGTGATGAACTTTCTAATCCTTTTAAGATAGTTGGAAACAGCTTTGTTTACAGATTGAGTAACTTTTTTAAATAAATTACTAGTGTAATTTTAAACCAAACATTGACACTACTAATTTCATTTGCCTTAAGGTCTCAGGTTCAAATCCTGTTGTTGTTCATAATATTAATTTCATTAATGTTCATCTCATTAAATAACAAAGGTTCTGGCCTTGTTATTTTTGCTATTTGAACCAAGGTTGTATTTAAGTTGCTGTAGTCAGGAATTGCATTTCTTAAACATTGCTACTTAAGGCTTAATTTATAAATTTTAGTTTCCTTATGAATTCGAGATCTAATACAATCTGGTAAGTAACATAGAGGAATTGCTAAATAAATGCTTCTATATAAAAATGAGTACAATGGAGCCAAATTGGATATATAAATCAACAGGTATACCCATGTCAAGTGGCACCTTTTTATTGGCTTAACAAAGAAAACAGAAATAAGTCTTAAATGCATAAGACTTAAGGTTTTGGCATAAATCTGTTTGATTGGTATATGAATAAAATGATCTTCCTAGAAAACAAAAGATGAGCACTGGAGATTCAATGTAAAACCAATGAACTAAAATGAGCTTAGTTTTATTGGAAAACAATTAAGGAATTTATACCAGGAATTTCAATCCTAGTGCCCTTAGTAAAGATGCTCCAGGTGGCAGGAGGCTGCTAAGAATCAAGAAGTCTCAGGAATTGATGTCAACTTATATTTGAACATGAGGAATACTTCAGGACAAAAGCAAAACAATTCACCTTTGCATTCACTAGTTTGAAGATTATCAGTCCCTAGCTCAATCAAAATCCCTGATGAACTCAAATTTATGTACAACACACCATCTTGAAAACAGCATCTTGAAATATGTCATCTAAAAATACACTATCTCAAAATTTATAGTAAATACACTAATTTTAAATACAGCATCACAACTATGAAAAACACTTCTTAGAATTTAGTTTTTTTTTGAAAAACAAAAAACATAATAAAACAACTCTTTTAAAAAAGTCAATTCTAGGCTTAAAAAAGCCTCACAATTTCAAATTTGCAATATAAAAGGGGGTCAATTAGAAGCAACAAGGTTGTGTAAAGCTCAAAAGTCAAAATATACCCAAAAACAATCATTTTCATCTATCAAATTTATTTTCTATACTTTAAAAGATGCATATAACAGCACCAAACACTAAAGAAAAGTAAAGAACAAAAATAGAAGAAAAATATAGAGAAGATAGTGAAGAATGTATTGGGAAAAGGCTCAAAGATTGGCTGAAAGAGCAACAAAGATGGCTTAAAGATGTTCAAGATTTCTATCCTTGGGATAGTATGCAATGACCAACTTGAAGATCTCAGTGTAATTTTTCATTGCTTTGGTCTGCTTAGGGGGTTGTCTTTGGTCTTCATACCAGTCTTGAAGAGGCAAGCAGAGATGGACTGCTGGGTTTTGAGGTGTTAGAAATCTTGTTAAATTTGGGCTTCTTAACCCTGACCCTAGTTGCGACTTGGCTATGCCACCCTTCAAGGGAAGAGGTGGTCTTGATGTGGCCGTCTTTTACCTGCTTAAAGCAGTTCCACTATATTGAGTCACCACCTTTTTAGATAAGACATGCTTCTTGGAAGATACCAACCCACTGAGTTTCAAATACCCAATAAAGGATACAAAGGCTGCCTGGTTGGCAATAATGTAAGGGTGGCAGAGGAGCACAATGTATAATGCATTTATCTCATCCTTTCTAATAGAGCAAGGGCAGTGTCAGACCACAGGCTTAGTGCCTGTTGTTAAACTTAATATAGTAAATTTATATTTAAACCAGAATATAGATAAATATAATAAGGAGGAAAATAGATGGTGTTTATTAAGAACAAGAGAGTGTTATATAGATGAAGAGGGAATCCTGAAAAATTGTACTAGGAACAATGAAATGAGGATTAGGAATAAAGGAAGTTGTTCCTAGTACCTTATTGCGGCACTAAGAATAAATGAAGTGTGAGAAGGTTGCTGTGTATAAAAGATATTTTATAGCACTTATTATTGAACTCTCTTCAATATAAGGACTATAAAGAGCATCCAAATTTTATAGTTGTCATATATGAGCATTTATTCACAAGGAATACTAAGGTTATTAGTGTGATAAAAGGGTAAATTATTATCCCTAGAATCATAACTGTAGAGATACCCCATTTGGAAATCAACACCATGTAAGTATAGTCTTCAAGATAAGTTCCTTTCCAACAGTCAGCAAAAAAGTTGAAGACGTTCTTGGCTTCTTTGGTTCCTTATGCATTGATGAGCTCATGCAGATCTGAGCATCTCTGAAGGCAGCAGCAGAGTGCCTGGCAGAAGTGGAAATAGCATCCCTGTGGGGAGCTCTTGAAGACTTGGATGAAGGCATTTGTTGAAGTCTGTTTGAAGTCAACTACCACATATTCATGATAAGGCAAGTTTTCTGGCTGCTTCTTGATTGGGATGGATTCCTCTTCCTGGGGCTGGGCCTTCTTTTTGCACCCCCTGGTCTCCTGGACTCTTACCCAATGGTTGGGAGGATCTCATCCAGCTTGATTTTTGGGATGGTAAAATCATGGACATAGGTATCCTACTTCTTATTTTAGAGGAATTAAAAGACCAGGAGAAGGACTAGATTGTCAAACTGCCTGTGGATGTTCCAAAGCTGTCCAAAAAGCTTTGGGCATGTAGAAAAAGTACCATATGCAGGTCAGGTCTTGCAGTTGAGAAGGTTGTGCTAATCCTGGGAGGTTG